AAGTGTTGTCTTCTGTGAGTTGACCCACCACACCTAAGTGTTGTCTTCTGTGAGTTGACCCACCACACCTAAGTGTTGTCTTCTGTGAGTTGAACCACCACACCTTAGTGTTGTCTTCTGTGAGTTGACTCACCACATCTTAGTGTTGTTTTCCGTGAGTTGACTCACCACACCTAAGTGTTGTCTTCCGTGAGTTGACCCACCACACCTTAGTGTTGTCTTCTGTGAGTTGACCCACCACACCTTAGTGTTGTCTTCCGTGAGTTGACCCACCACACCTAAGTGTTGTTTTCCGTGAGTTGACCCACCACATCTTAGTGTTGTCTTCCGTGAGTTGACCCACCACATCTAAGTGTAAGTTTTCTCTTGTGACATTACAAGAACAAGAGGAAATTGTTGTGCTGTTATTTAGAATGTTTCGGGAACTGTAGTGTTTTAAAAATATATAAATTGATGTTTTCATTCTATAACTTTTATATTTTTGTGTTTTTATACTTACAGTTATATTGTAATAATAATAATATGTATCCCCTTCAAACTTTTGTAGAATGTTGTAATTACAAAAAAAAATGACATTTTTAATGTGCCAGTCACGACTTCAAACCAAGTAAAACTAGCTACAGACAGCAAGAGTGTGTTATTAGGTATTACATGTTACATCATCTGTCTAGTTCCATATTGTAACCATCATCTTGCCATATACCACCTAGAGTCAAATGTTATCTTAAAGTCTTATTTAAGAACAAAACATAATAATAATATGTAAATGTTATAGTATCATCACATAGTCTGATTTGTTGACAAACAGTCAGTTTTATTTGTAGTTTAGTAGTGTTAAATAACAATCTTATTTTTGCTTTCCTTCTTACCAAAGCTTCTTGTCAGCTGGTAATAAGTTCGAGCAACGGAATTAGCAAAGAGATCTTTATAGTATAGTATAAAATATTTAGATGTCATTCACATTGTTTTCAGTCATATATTTGGTTCAATATTATTTGTTAATAAATGTAAGAAACGAATAAAGGAGGTTTTTAATCAGATAAGTGTAATAACTTATCAATTTCCACGAGTATATTAATTTCTTTTTATTTCGTCTTGCATAAAAATCATTACAGCATCATGTACATGTAACGTAAATCAGTAAACAGCTGCAAGGTATGTCCTTGAGATGTCTTTTAGTAGTTTGAACTTGTGACTGTTGTCATTGGGTGTCCTTGAGAGATCAGGTTACCAAGGTTATTTTGTCACTGACACATTCATATGCAGGAAAGGTTGTTTCTTCTAACGCAAGGCCTAAGTTACTTTACTGTAAGGAATATTTGAGTTCATCTTAAAATATTTTCTGTATATACAATTGTTTTAATTAAAAAAGGCCTTTACATCTTTTCCTGAGATAAAAACATTAGAGGACAATGACCTGTGAAGGTCATTCCTTTTTTTTTCTATTTGCTCATTTAGTAAACAGGAGAACATTTGAAAAATAACATGCATTATTAATTATTAAAAGTTTTTTTTTTGTAATTGAAGAAGAATTAAGCTTGATTGAATAAAATCGTTTCTAGCAACAAACATCCATTACAGTCCGTCCAACTAGAGACGGTCGCTGCTCTCAGTTCTCCATCATCAACAGATTATTATTCATCGTCACCCGGACCTATGGCATCTTCAGCCACCAAAGAGCTGGATGACCTCATGGCCTCGCTCTCTGAATTTAAAGTAAGGTTTGATGAACTCTGTTTGATGTGCAAACTGGAACTTTGAAATTTTTTGTATTGAATAGCAACATATTTATCATGAGATCAGTACAAATTCAATTATGAGATTATTGGTGTGTGTTATAATGCATAATTCATTTGGGTCATAATTTAATTTGTACTGATCTTATGATAAATATTGGTTATAGCTTAGGGTTATTGGTGTGTGTGTTATAACGTATAATTCATTTGGGCTAAGCTGTAACCAATATTTATCATGAGATCAGTACAAATTAAATTATGATATTATTGGTGTGTGTTATAATGTATAATTCATTTGGGCTAAGCTGTAAACAGAAATCGATCTGTTTTAGTCATTAGTTGTGAAAACAATAACAAATTTATACATGTGCTCATTATGAATCAACATTTGTTTATTGGCCTATAATATAAGATTAAACAGCTTCAGCGAGAAAGAATTTCAGCAACATTTCCTGTTTGTACTTGGATTTAAGAGAGTTTTTTATTTTCTCCACAGTTTTTAAAACCATTAAACTGATTATGTCAACTTCAAAGTACCTAATTTGATAATGCAGGAATTGAGACACTTTTCCATCAGTAATGTATTTTAGCATGTTTTATGATTCTTAAGTGTGCTATGTTTATTTTGGTTTTGCTCCGATAAAGATCTGTTCATCATTAGATATTTTCCTGATTTTATGCATTATGCTGGGCCAGTGTGGCCTAGTACTTAGCACGCCTGGACTGTGAATCCGAGATTCATAGCACGTTTGTGCAAAATATGCTATTCACTTTGTGGTAGTGAGTCTGATATAAGAGTGACAGTCAGGTTCCACTGTTCAGTCAGACAAGAGTAGCTAGAGAGTTGGTTTTGACTGGCTGCCTTTCCTCCTGTCTGTTAGTTCAAAATTAGGGATGGTGGCTATGCACAAACAGCCTTATATGTAGCTTTGTGCAACAATTCTGAAACAGACAAGTATCAAACTTTCTGTAGAGATATTTGTATTTCAGGGAAAGAAGTAAATCTGGTTCATATGTCACATTGAGGAGAATTTAAAATCGCACCAAGTTGGTTTATCGTACCAGATATCACAGTGTTTATTGCAAGGGAGACCAGAGAGTAAATTTTATCTTTCCAATTTCCTGCAGAGAAAAATAACTCTCGCTATTTTCCTTGCTTCAATACTTATCTCTTGGATAATCCTTGTTGACTTGTTACTTTTAGTGCTTTGGCCACAGCAACTGCAATGAAACAGCACTTAATATCAGTCTTGCCAGTAGAAGGGTTTTGTTTACAAAATTTCAATTTGTTTTACACTGAAATTCACAGTAAATTTTTTATGCTACATTAACGAGTAGAGAAAATAAGGGTTATCATTTCGGTTATTAACACGTTCAAAGTTATTAACACGTCCAAAGTTATTAACACGTTCGAAGTAATGTTGATTTTGTCTTTTTGTAAGACTTGAACATAGGCATTTCTAAGTCTCCTTAATTATTTCCTTAGTAGTATAACAATATCAGGAACTACGTGTACCTGTTTCTTTAAAAAGGAAGAAATGAATAAATACTACATTAGTGGAGGATATTGCTTCAAAGACTTACTAAACAGAAACCTGTTTGATATATGAAATAAGGATTTCGGAATGAAAAAGCCAGTAATTTTGGCTAATTAAAAGAAACATTATATTGTGAAAAATAATATGTGTGGCCAATAGACCTCAACCAGTGTGGCAAAAAAAGATTTAGTGACGTAACAGATTACAATTACGGGTTTTTACCCAGGCTCACAAAACCCCTTTCTGCTTCAGTCTAGTACATAAAGAGCCTTAATGCCTTAATAAGTTTTTTATTTTGTACTCTCTAGTATTGAGTTTGTTAATCAAACTTGTTCTTAACCTGGTACATTGATATTTATTCATGAAAACAACAACTAACTTTAAACTTTAAGAACTTTTAATGTCACCGTAATATTCACAGCTAAAAGACACTAAAAAACAACAACTAACTTTAAACTTTAAGAACTTTTAATGTCACCGTAATATTCACAGCTAAAAGACACTAAAAAACAACTAACATTAAACTTTAACAACTTCTAATGTCACCGTAATATTCACAGCTAAAAGACACTACCCAAATTGAAGGGGAGCCAGCCTGTGCTAAGACTCAGAAACCACCCAAGCAGCCATCTACTCCAGCTCCTGGTCTAAATAATCAGCTGGACTCTATGCTGGGCACTCTCCAGTGTGACATGAACAAGCAAGGGGTAAATACCACAGCTAAAGGTCATTGCACTGCCTGTAATAAGCCTATTGTTGGACAGGTATGCTAAGGGTTACTGCTTTTTTGTACTTCACTAGTAGATAGGATTGTTTTATTAATTTTTATGTGGAATAAAATTAGAATGTAGTTTAAAAGTAACATTGTGCTGTGGGCATAAGAAAAAAGTAATTTTCATTTAAAAGTTTCTATAACATGTATGTATATTTTTTCAGTAAGATTTTTTTAGAATATGTATGTATATATTTCAGTACGATTTTTTTATAACCGCTATATCAAACACCATCAGTAGTGGAAGAAGGGGACGTGATAACTCTTTATATTGTTAATAACCACTGTAGAACCACTATATCAAACACCATCAGTAGTGGAAGAAGGGGATGGGATAACTCTTTATATTGTTAATAACCACTGTGGAACCGCTATATCAAACACCATCAGTAGTGGAAGAAGGGGACGTGATAACTCTTTGTATTGTTAATAACCACTGTGGAACCGCAATATCAAACACCATCAGTAGTGGAAGAAGGGGACGTGATAACTCTTTATATTGTTAATAACCACTGTGGAACCGCAATATCAAACACCATCAGTAGTGGAAGAAGGGGACGTGATAACTCTTTATATCGTTAATAACCACTGTAGAACCACTATATCAAACACCATCAGTAGTGGAAGAAGGGGACGTGATAACTCTTTATATTGTTAATAACCACTGTAGAACCGCTATATCAAACACCATCAGTAGTGGAAGAAGGAGATGTGATAATTCTTTATATCGTTAATAACCACTGTGGAACCGCTATATCAAACACCATCAGTAGTGGAAGAAGGGGACGTGATAACTCTTTATATTGTAATGTTCTTGAAATGGAATTACCCATAACTTTTGTTATTGATTTTTCTATGTATTGGCTAATTTTTCTTCCCAAGTTAAATGACCCAATTAACTGGACGTAGCATATAAAGTGTAGTTGACATATTATTACATTCTTCTTTACTGGTACAAAGTCTGGCCCAATAAAGAATCTTTTTTTTTGTTCTTAAAGTAAATTTATATTTTGTTTATAATTTATTGGAGACTTCACAAGTTATAACTTAACCGTAAATGTCTGGAAGTTGAAGTTTTGTCTGTTAAAGAAAGTTATATGAAAACCTTTCAAAAGCTGTAAATCTCTGACAGGTGGTGACTGCTCTAGGGAGGACGTGGCATCCCGAACATTTCACTTGTAAGCACTGCAACGAGGAACTTGGGACAAAAAACTTTTTTGAGCGAGATGGCGATCCCTACTGTGAAACAGACTATCACAATATTTTCTCCCCTCGTTGCGCCTACTGCAATGGTCCAATTCTAGATGTGAGTCTTTTTCTATAACTCTTTCACTGCCATGCATATAGACAAGTAACTCTCCCAGTACCATTTTTATTTTGAGATGAACAATAGATAACAAATATTTAATATTTGATTACATATCTGAAACTTGAAACTAATAAACTTTGAAAATAATTTCTTTTGAAGCTCCCTGTCCTTACTTGTTAAGATGTTTTTTGGCAGAATGAAATTTAAAATACTAGTAGCCCCGATGATAGTAACTGTGTTATCAAAACTGGTTGACTGTAACTATTAATAAAGATTTTACCTTTCACTGTGCCCCCCCCCCCCCAAAAAAAAACCACGTCAAATTTTGTTTTTTTAACTCTTAAAACTTTGAAAAGCTTAAAGAGAATATTCTTTTTTGGTGACTGGAAAAAATTCCAAACTTCCAGTGCTCTAGAAGAATATATATATATATATATATCTATGTATGTGTACCCATGTAAGTGAAAAATGTTAGCTCCTCAATGTTATTGTGAGTTTATAAGTTATTTTGAAAATTTAACATAAATGCTGTTTCATTTTTTATGCTGTTGTTACACTGTTTGTAATCTTAAAACTACAAAAAAAAATTTTTCAAAGACACTAGTTTATGGTTTGTCACGATTTGTTCAATAAAATCAGTGGAAATGTTGTGTTTTCACGTATGTTTGGCCCGGCATGGCCAGGTGGCTAAGGCACTCGACTCGCAATCTGAGGGTCGCGGGTTCGAATCCCTCTCACACCAAACATGCTCGCCCTTTCAGCCGTGGGGGCTTTATAATGTGACGGTCAATCCCACTATTTGTTGGTAAAAGAGTAGCCCAAGAGTTGGCGGTGGGTGGTGATGACTAGCTGCTCTCCCTCTAGTCTTACACTGCTAAATTAGGGACGGCTAGCGCAGATAGCCCTCGTGTAGCTTTGCGCGAAATTCAAAAACAAACAAACACGTATGTTTAATTGTATATAGATTAAAAACATTTGAAGTATTTTTGGATTTAAACCATTATCAGAATACTGAAATATCAAGTAATTACGTCATTTGGTAGCATATGTAGCTGTTGAAACATCAAGTAATTATATTGTTTTAGTAGTGGTAGTTTCTGATTAAAGCATGGCTATCTTTCGGTTTCTTTTGACAGAAATGTGTGATGGCTTTGGACAAGACATGGCACCCTGAACACTTCTTCTGCACCCAGTGTGGCCAGCAGTTTGATGAAGAAGGGTTTCATGAAAGAGATGGAAAACCGTATTGTCAGGAGGATTACTTTGAGCTCTTTGCACCAAAATGTGGGGGTTGTAATCGCCCAATCACAGAAAACTACATCTCGGCCCTGAACAATCAGTGGCATCCCGGGTGTTTTGTTTGTTGGGTAAGATCTGGTATTTTAGATTATTAATAAAACAGTGATTGAATTCGTCACTTATTTAGCATGATTGTAACGGTTGCTCATTATTTAAGGACTTTCCTGTATTCTTAGTAAGTAGTTAGCAAACATCCACACAGTTTTGGTAAAACATTTGTGTAACATAACATACACAAGTACCAATAGACAGTGGAGAAAGTGTGTAACATAACATACATAAGTACCAATAGACAGTGGAGAAAGTGTGTAACATAACATACACAAGTACCAATAGACAGTGGAGAAAGTGTGTAACTTAACATACACCAATAGACAGTGGAGAAAGTGTGTAACATAACATACACAAGTACCAATAGACAGTGGAAAAAGTGTGTAACATAACATACAAGTACCAATAGACAGTGGAGAAAGTGTGTAACATAACATGCACAAGTACCAATAGACAGTGGAGAAAGTGTGTAACATAACATACACAAGTACCAATAGACAGTGGAAAAAGTGTGTAACATAACATACACCAATAG